TAGGAGTTAAGTCAGAGAAATAACTTAGGAAGCTCTCTATGGCTATCAAGAAAAGATAGCAACTAGGTTTTGTTTTTGTTTTTATTTCTTTTTGTAATTTGTTTTAATGTTGAAAGAAACAATATTCAGACTCTATGTGTTGTGCCTACTGCTCTAGAAATATTTGTTAAATATCGGATGCAAGGTAGTTTTATTTTAAAGGAAGGAAGTCTAATCATATTAGGAAGATTTTACATAAGTAGAAAAACTTTTTCATACAAATATCTTTACTATTTCAAACAGACAGAAAAGTGCCCATTATTCAACTTCAATAATTAATCATAGCTAATCTTTCAGCTATATCCTCTAAACTTTCTGGCCAAATCTCTGACTTTATATAATTTCATCCATTGCTACTACACTCTAAAAAAAGACTTTTTTAGAATAGCATAAAATATAACAGTATCATCATGCCTTAAAAGTATTAACAATTATTTCTTAACATCCATCCACATATATTCACCTAATTAAATTTCTTATAAGCAGGAGATGTAAAAATATTTGGCCTATTTTTTGGATGTACTTTTTTTGGTATGGCATATTTTCGATAATTTTAGGTAATAAATGATTTTTTCCCAGGAAGTTGTTGTTCAACTACTGCCGTATAAACTTTTTCCAGATTTTATAACGATATTAAAAATTGAAATAAGAATATATTTGTATGGAAGAAATAGAGAGTAGGCATGTATATAATAAAAAGGCTTGGAAGCATGAACCAGCATCACAAGTGTATCAGTTAGGGTGGTAGGATGGTCTAGGTTATGTAACAAGCAACCCCCAAATCTCAGTGACATAAAGCAATAGGGTATATGTTCTATTTGTGCTAACATTCATCACATATCAGTATGAGGTCTCTGTTGCAATTCATCTTCACTAGGTATCCAAGACAATAGAGTCGGTACCATTTGAAAGATTATAGATCTATGTGGCAAAACGGGGAAGAGATTAAAATAATGCATTGGCTCAGAAAAGCTTCCACCCAGAGGTGGTATGTGTCACTTCTGTCTGCTTAGAATTCAGTGACCAGATGCAGTCACATGGCTATACCTAACTTTGTGAGTGCCTAGGAGTTTACTAGATATTAAAAGTCATAATGCTCCTCAGTGATGAGGATGGCCTGAGAAAAACCAGCCTAATCGGATGAAGGTTATGCAGCAAAGAATGGCAAGAAATTAGATCAGGTAGATAAAATGGAACAAGATTATAGAAAGGCTTTTGACTTAAGAAGAGGATGTTAACTTTGATATTGGCAGTAGGAAGTCATTGTAGGTCTTTGAGCAGGAAGACGACATGATTACTGACATGTTCTAGTAAGAATAATCTTGCAGGTGGGATGCTATGTTATTCCAAAAAATTAAGGCTTAGAGTGCTGGAAAATAGTGGGGACTGACTAAGGGGAAAGGATAGGTGTGTGTGTGTGTGTGTGTGCGCGCGCACGTGCGCGTGTGCGGATGTATCTGCTATGAGGCATGTTAAAGGAAGATGCAGCACGATTTGGTGATAGATTGAAATAGCAGATTGAGATCTGGAGAACTGATGTCTTAAATATGTGTAGTCCTTTGTACAAAAGGTAGGAAGCAAATAAAAAAGTTCAAGTTAACCCTTGAACTAAGCTGATTTTATAGCTTCTGAATCTGTGTGGACTAAATACTAAAGTAAAATAGTATCTGAAATGAAACAAAACAAAAGACATGAGTATGGGGGGTGTGTGTGTGTGTGAAGAAAAGCAAATAGTTTTCTTTGGATTGCCCCAATACCCTGCTCACTTCTTTATAAGATACAACCGCAAGAACTAACAAATGCAGATTTCTGCTTTTGCTTCTTAACTGTGAAACACAAAGCCACTGGTGCCTGCTCTCTTTTGTTAAAAAAAAAAAAAAAAAAGAGTTGGAAAGGTCATCCAAGATAGGAAGAAATGGAGGCAGAGGCAAATCAATGTTTAACTTGGAAATATTTTTCAGTTAATCATCTCTGACCGCTCACACTAAGAGGGCACTCCTAGAGTGCTGGCAAACTTGAACTGGAAGCCACTCAGCTTCTATTAAAACAGCCAAGTGTCAGGATCTGTACAATAAGAAAGCCAATGTGGTAGGTTTAACTTAAAATGAGGAGGAAGTCTCTTGATATATACCTAGGAATATTTTGACCTTTAGGCTTTTGTTTTCAAGTATGAGGGTTATGGAACCAAAGGATTTCCTTGTTCTTGGGTTATCATAAAAGCCTGGGATTCACACCTGGTAGGAAATTTGTTGAAAGATGTGGAAATAATTTTGGAATCTGTGTTATGGATTTCTTTTCCTATTTTCATTCCTGGTATATGTAATTTTGTGAAAGACTACATGAATGTGATTTCTTACTTGTGGCTACCTTGATGACTTTTTTTTGGCCATTTTATTATAAGGAGCCAATTTTTAAGAAACTTATGAGAACTCTATGGGTCGAATGGGGCTAATATTTGCTCTAATGGGCAAATAGACTTTTAAAATCTTGTCTCCATTTTAGTGTGTTTGTAGATGGTCAGTTATGAGGAAACACTATGATTTTGACAGGCTTTGTTCATTCTTCTATATGGGGTGAAATAATTATCTATTAAACAAAAGAAGCAACTCATTTGGCCTTTGAATGTAATGTATCCAGTACATTCATGTAAAGTCCAGTTCGTAAAGAGATTCTTAGCCAAAGTGTCACCCTTGACTTAAAGCCATTGTGCTTATGAACTGCTGAGCATATGGTGTGCTGTTCTGCAACTCACTGCTCTGGAGAGTCTCCTATACCACTGACATTGCTTTATAAGCAGAGAGTAATGCAAACTGGTGCCAAAACAATCAATATTCTAGAAGCCCAACGATGTATTTCTCTTATGAGACCTGGTCTTTCTGACATTCTGATTCTAGATATGTGAGACAGCTTGTAATAATTCAGCAGCTGTTAGATTCAGTAAAGCTGTATTTGAATTACTAAGGAAATCTTAATTGGTTTTGCATTTGGGGAGCTTTAAAAGATAGGATTTTGAATACTTTTGAGGAATTCACATAGACTAGATGGATTTTACAGAAAATATAAAAAATACCAGATTACATGTGTCTCCTTTCTCATTCAAAATAACAAATTCTATACCTATTATTATTATTATTATTATTTATGGTGAATAGACAGCAAGACTCTAATGGTACACTAAAAAAAATCATTATGTCTTATTTAGTCTTGCAATATTTTTAAATAATGTCATTTTATATTTTTATTGTTAACTATTACATTGTTTGGGGCCTGGGTTTCACTGCTTGTCTTATATTGTCTCCTTGGTCATCAACTTGGTTCAACAGTGTTGGGAGAGCTGTGGGGCCATGAAAGAATCTAGTGAAACCAAATAGTAAAAGTTTAGCCATGGATTTACCTGCTAAAACAACAGATGTATTTTCTTCTTGTGTAGGAATTATTGTTTCATTCAGACTCTCCTGAACAGAGAACCTACTGTAAGGATTTTGCCTTATGCACCAATTAACTATTATTGCACAATAAGCTTCTCCAAACTCTGTGGCCTAAAAGAGTAAGATTTATTGCTTTTAGGTCAGCTGGACAGTTCTCCTTTTGGCTAGAATCACCATGCATCTCTGGCCAGCTGTGGATAGGGAGCTCTGCTTTTCTGAGCAGACTGTAAACTGGTCTCAAATCATTTTGAATGGAAGAGTTGGGATCTCCTCCATGTAATCTCTCATCTTCCATCAGGCTGCACTTTCATTAGAAAGTAATTTTCAATAAAGATAGTGATCTCTGCCCTCGGTGATAGGTCCATGACCTATGGCCAATCGCTAGAGCTACATTTCTCAAAGTATAGTCTATAGGTACCTCCTGCAACAGGTTCACTGTGGGACTTGAGGTGCCCTAAATCTACTAAATTAGCATTTCTTGGGCTGAGTCCCAGAAATCTGCACATTATTCAATCCCCCTTTCCCCATAACTCTTACACTCATATTTGAGAGTCTCTGCATAGATTCACCTACTCAACACAATTATTGAAATATATAGACTCAAATAAGAGAATATTTTTTTTTCAGATGTGGAAAACTGACGTTGATGTGAATTACAAAAAATAAATAAATAAATAAATAAATATATTAGACTTTTCCATTGAATTGCCTTAAACAGATTCTCACCTTTGCCAAGTTATAATAAATGTAATATGTCATAGCTGCATCAAATTTATCAATAAATGCATATTAGTAGAATTGGTTTGAATGAATGCTTTTATTCTTTTGATTTTGTATTTGCAAGGGGCCCCTAAAAACTGATGCATCTCAAAATTGGGCCATTTTTCCCTTCCTTGCCAATAATGTCCAAGTCAATATTCCTGTGGTTCTTTCATAGAAGGAGAGAGAAACCTACTATTACATCATCCCCTTTAGAAGCCTGTGGTATAGCAGAGATGAAAAATTCATAAATTTTTATTCAATAAGAAAAGAACACAGATATATGGAAGTAGTAGGTTTTGTTCAGTGCCTCCTAGCAGGCAAGTAGGGAAGAAAAACAGATGTCATTACATTTAAAAAATTCATATCTTTATCTTCAACTCAGAAGTCTTCAGTATGAGTTATCCAGGTGCCCCTCAGCCCTTCAGGTAGAGACCAGTTGTGTGTGTGTGTGTGTGTGTGTGTGTGTGTATTGTCTGGTGTATGTGAGAGTAGTTCTATCATTTCGCTGGAAGCTTATTTGAGCCATTGACTGAATATTTAAGACATTTTGGAAGACTTTTTTGGGGGTCAAAAAGGTATTTTAATGATAACTAGAAAGAAATGACCCTGAAAGAAGCAAGACAAGCTTTAAAGAAGCCTAGTACTCAAGTTAAATTTATCTCCTTGATTCTAGTCTTTACCGCTACCAACTGAGCCTGCACAGAGGACCAAATTAATCTTCTGAAAACAGTGTTGAATCACTCTCCTCCCTAGCTTGAAAACTCTTAATGTCATCAATTGCCTCACTGGGTTGGCAAATTCAAATGCATCATGGGCAAGGAAGAGAACAGTAAGTAGAGGTGTATAGTTATAAGTTATAGTGGATGATAGGGTCTGTGGTAAACTGAAAAATGCATATCATTGAAAAATACTCAAATTCAGATTTTTAAAAGAAAAATTAGACCTGGCCAACAGAACACATCTATGGCTTAATTCAGGCCTTAGACCACCTGTGTGCCACCTCTGGGCCAGCTCAAGTACAAACTTATTAATTTAACACTTAAGATTCTCTATAGTCTAACACAGTGCTGTGAACGGAGTTAAGATTCCTCACTCGTTTTTAATGCAGTAAGATATAAGGGAGAGATCATTAGGCTTTGGAAGTCTTGGGAGTAAATTCTGATTCTACCACTCACTATGGTGACTCTATAGTTTCAGATGAGTGATTTTATTTTCTCTAAGCCGTGTTTGTTTTTCATATGTACTATGTGGGTAGTAATGCCAGCCCTGCCTAGTTCATTTATTTCCTAGAAAAATAAAATGATACCATTCAAGTTTTCCCACCAATGTGGCAACCATTGGATACATGAGTCTATTGAGCACTTGGCATGAGACCAGTACAACAGAGAAATGGGATTTTTAAGTTGCACTTAATTTTAATAAATTTAAAATTTAAACCTCCTTGATATAGTTCTCGGAAAACTTTTAAGAAGGGTTGGTATAACTTGAATTCATCAATCTACTTTTTTTTTTTTTTAGCTGTAAACATCTAAAAAATCAAAATGCAGATCAAATGTTTCTGCTGAAAATTTAGCATTGGAATTGAGATGTCTGTAAATGTAAAGTACGTGCTAGATTTTGAAGACTGAGTATGAAAACAATTAATAATCTTTTATATTGACTATATGTTAAATGATAGTATTTTGGACATATTGAGTTAAATTATTATTAAATTAATTTCACTTATTACTCTTTATATTTAAAAAATGTGGCTACTGGTTATTTTAAAGTTACATATGTGATTTATGTTATATTTGTATTGGGCACTACTGATCCATATAAAAACTATTAATAAGCTGTGATGTTTTTATCAGCAATAAATACTGCACAAGTAGGTTATAATATTTGTGAGTGTAGGGATTATATCTGTCTTGTTCCTCGTCATTTATCTAGGACCTTGCCTTGTTCCTGGCACAAAGTAGTGGTTTGATACAGATTTTTTGAACAAATAAATATTTAAATAAGTTTAAATATTTACAAAATGAACATGTATTCAAAAAGTGTCTTTGTCGCATTGCCTATAAAGTAAAGGGGCTGTAAAATGATATTTAAGTTCCTTCCAGCTTTAAAATACAGTGACACCTGACATGATAGGATACCATACAACATGGCGCAATATGCTTTCACTCTATATGTAGGTATGTAGTCTTTTGCACTTGGCTAGTCTGCTCGGATTTTGATGCAGAATCTTTACACAATAAAGTTGATTCTTGAACAATGTAGGGGTTAGAGATGCTGATCCCCTCACACAGTCAAAAATTCATATATAACTTTGACTTCCCTCAAACTTAAGTAATAGCCAACAGTTGACCGGAAGCCTTATCGATAACATAAACAGTTGATTAACACATATTTTGTGTGTTACATGTACTGTATACTGTCTTCTCACAATAAAGTAAACTAGAGAAAAGAAAATGTTATTAAGAAAATCATAAGGAAGAAAAAATACATTTATACTACTGTACATATTTATAAAAAAATTTACATATAAGTAGACCTATGCAGTTCAAACCCTGTTGTCCAAGGGCCAACTGTACATGCCAATGCAAGAAAGACAAGCAAAAGTCTGTCAGATGACAAGATGTAACTCATGTTGCCAGATTCTCATTGGTAATGAGGGAAGCAGACCAACCATATGAGCATCTGTATGTTGGATCTGGCCACTTTGTCTTCTTTATTTTTTATTTTCAGTCAAACTCTTGTTTTATTAGAATAATGCTCATTTTAGTAGGCTTCCTTGCCTACAGATTGCAGAGTTTTTTTATACATGTAGATATTCCACATCTTGAAGTGAGAATTTGCCTCTTGGGAGGTAATGTGCTTTCTTGGAGAATGAATTGTTACCTCACATTTTCCATCTGTTCTCAAGGAAATATGTTTATTTTTAGTGAACAAGGTAAATCCTAGAGGGGACGTGATAGATCCCCCTATCCAGTAGATTCCCCTTTCTTTCATTTCATGGGAAGTAGTATAGTATCTTCTTGTTAATTAACATATCACATTTATAAGATGGATCTCCTCTTACAAGGAAAAGTGTAGATGGGTGTGAATTTTATATATTATATATGTATATGTGTTTCTGTTTCCATGGGAAATGTTACAATATGATTTATCTGCCATATATAAAATTTAACATTTTGAACGACTAACTTTTATTCCATGGAGTTGTTGGGGATGGGAAAGTTTCCCCTTACCCCTTTAGTTTTTCTGCCTGGTCAAATAATCTAACGTAAAACAGATTAACAGGAGAAAATAAAATTTTAATAGTGCACATGGTTTATTCACATAAACATGAAATTCCAAAGACAGGGAGGTAAAATGAGTTACATGTCATTTTGGACTAAGGAGAGGGAGGCAGGCAATTCACAGAAAGATGAGAAAGCAAATATTTGGTAAAAGTATTCTTGCAGAGCCTCTTAGAAACAATGGGACAAAGGGGAATTTAGCAGAACAGATTTTTGCTCGGGATCTTCCCTGTTTGCCACATTTATTTCATAGGTGCTAAGGTGAATAGCTAAAGTGAATATGCTAAGGTTCCCTTTCTGAAGCAGCTTGTTCTCGCTGAATCTCTTTAGGCAGATAATGGAGAAGTAAAAACGTCTTCCGGAGATTGTTGGGCTTTCATTGCTTTGGACTGAAAGCAATCTGCATGCTAGGGTGGCACATTTTAGGGATGCTAGCTCTCGACCCTCACAGAATTAAAGGTGAGAAGCTTTACTGTGGAGTGTAATTTCTTTGAAAATAAATGGCAACTTATCATTTTCCTCTGCTTCTTACTGATGGAAGTTGTGAGGATTCCAATGTTTTCCCCTGAGAGACTATCTTCCGTTGGCTGCCATCCTAAGTTCTGAGATGTTTATTCTATAAGCAATTTAAACAAAGGGGAGGAAATGCCCCGGACTGGTGACTGCATGTAATCATAATGAAAAATGCGTGATATTGAATCATAGGAGTAGAAGATGGTGTGGTGATTTCAGACTTGGACTCTCACTTCTGGTGGTGAGACTCTTTTGGAGAAACTAGGATAAAATGAAACCATACTGTGGCAAACCTGGCCCATCCGTAGTGTATGCATGTCTTTCTTTCTTCCTCCTTTATTCACAGGATGTCACCATCCTGTGTATGAGGAAGGCCAGTCAGTTGTGCGCTAATGCAGTCTAAAGTTTTTTCCTACCCTGTGGTGGTGTTCAGTGAATTAAGTTTCTGCAATCCTACTTAAATAAAAAATGAAACATGTGACCATTAGAATAAAAATGAACCCAGGCAAGAATAATCAATGAATACTAAATCCAGAGGTGGAGTTTCAACAAAGAACAGAATACTCACATAATCTCAAGTTATCTAAAAGTGCAGAAGACAAAATAGTTAACTAAACAGTGAAAACATTTAACAGCATCTTTACCAAGTGATAGAAATTAGCATTATCCCAAAGGGGTAAGTGGATATCCTGGGTCCTGAGATGGGATATTATGGGAAGAACACATGATTATGTAGTATTTCAGTCCCAAATGTGATCCATGAATTTCATCACAAGGAAATATCAGAGGACAAATTGAAAGACATTCTATTGTGGGGCCTAAAAAAAAATATTTTTTTCTTCTCACCTTCTAAATTAGTTTAGCTGGGCTAATAATCAAATTAAGAGAGATAGATTAAAAGGAGAAAATCAAACTTTAATTCATGGGCATGGGGAATTCACATAAGCATAAAATTCCAAAGTTAGTGAGACAAAATTGGGTATATACGTCATTTTGGACAAAGGAGAGGGGAGCATTGAAGAGATTTCAAAGGAAGTAGGCAATTTACAGGTAGTTGAGGAAGAGTAGAACCTACATGGCAGGTAAATTCTTGCTTCAATGCAACACAGGATGTGACCTAGCTACCAGTCCCCTCTGCTTTGGCCCTTCCTATCTATTATATTTAATTCAAATTAGGCTAAGGCAAACACCCCAAGATTTCCTTTCTGAAGCAGGCCCCTCATCTGAATCTCTTAGATAGGAAAGGAGGAGGGCCAGAGGCTCCCTCTGAGTTCCTGTTTTTCAACAACGAGTTTAAAATCAACATCCCAAAAGGCAGCCTTAGGGTGGCAAAACTTTGGTTCCCTTCATTAGAAAATAATGGAAAGGCTGAGGGGTTGCTCTCAAGTTCAAGGAGACTATAGAGACATGACAACTGAATGCAATATGCCATCCCAAATAGGATTACTTATTTGAAAAATAATTGTTATAAAAGTCATTGTTGAAGGCACATGATGAAATTTGTATACAGACTGTAAATTAGATAAATTATTACATCAGTGTTAAATTCCTTTAATTTGATAACTGTACTGTGATTATATAAGAGACTCTTTATTCATAGGAAACATACATTGAGGTATTGAGCATGTAGCCTACTGTCACATGGTTTGGAAATAATTATATCGATATTCATGTGTATGTGTGGATATACACAGAGGGATGAGGGGATTAAACAAACTTGGCAAAATATTAAAATTTGTTGAATTGGTGTAAAGAGTATTAAGATTTGCAACTTGTGTCTAAATTTGAAATTATTTCAAAATAATAAGCTTTGAAAAATAAAGCCAATGTTCCCATGACACACACGTATCAATTGGTAGAAAGGTTTGATGGGAGAATTTAGACTACAAATAGTTTGAATATTAGGAGGAAAATGTGAAGATGAGCCACAAAAGCACCTTCCCATAGATAATCTTGGTAGCAGTCCTTTCACAATGACAGACTCCAGGAATTCTGTGTCTACTAGGGTAATCCCATTAAAGAAATTTCAGCT